TCAGGTCATGACTCACATTCCAAAAATAAATAGAAGAAAGTGGGATAAGAAATCGGAGAAAATGTTACTTGTTGGTTTTGGTGACAACACCAAAGGTTATCGATTGTACAACCCAAGGACTAACTCGGTAATCATTAGTAGAGACGTAATAATTATGGAGAGTGAAGTAAAAGAAACGCAAATGTTAGTAAACGTAGGTGCGAGTACAGAAACAACTGAATCTACCAAAGTCACAGATCCAGTGGGGGCAAGTAATGAAACTATAGAAAAAGAAGATGTTTTTGAAACCTCCGGAGAATTTACAGATGCTCAAGATGACGATGATAGTGATTATACATTAGAAGATGAAGTGACGGTTCCAGAAGTGTTACGGAGATACAGCAGGGTGCCAAAAAAAAGGGTGCTTGACGACTATGTGACTTTTGCGTGCGCTGCGGATATTATGAACCTAGACGATGACCCCTGTACGATATCTGAAGCATTATCGAGACCGGACAAGGAGAAGTGGAAGCAAGCCATGTTGAAAGAAATGGACGCATTTCGGGAAAACGACGCTTGGGAGTTAACGAATCCACCAGAAGATGGTCGCGTAGTGCAGTGCAAGTGGGTGTTCAAAAGAAAGAGCGGAGACGAAAGTGAAGTGTGGTACCGAGCTAGGTTGGTTGCAAAAGGTTTCACGCAACGACAGGGAGTTGATTATGACGAAACTTTTGCACCTGTAGTTTGTCACTCAACTTTGAGATTGTTAGTAGCTCTTTCGGCTCAATTAGATTTATGTATCAATCATGTAGATATAAGTACAGCATTCTTGAACGGAGTTCTCGAGGAAACCGTTTTCATGAAACAGCCCGAGGGTTTTGAGGTACCAAATAAAGAAAACATGGGGTGTAAATTATAGAAGGCTATTTATGGGCTTAAGCAATCATCCAGAACCTGGAACAGGAAAATAGACATTGTATTGACTTCATTAGGTTATAAGAAATCAGATCTAGAACCTTGTCTGTATATTAAAAAGGGTAAAAATAATTTTTTAACCATTATTGCGTTATATGTTGATGACCTTTTTATATTCTCAAACAATTCATTTGAAAATGAATGTTTAAAAACAGAACTTGGTTATAAATTTAAGATTAGAGATTTGGGCGAGGCAAAACAATGTCTAGGAATGCGTATTATTAGAAATAAGGATACTGGCTCGATCACTTTGGATCAAGAACAGTATATAAACAAGATTTTACAAAGGTTTAACATGGAAAATTGTAACCCAGTTAAAACACCTTTGGAAATTAATATGTCTTTTAGTAGTGAGATTAATAAAAATTGTAAACCACTTCCTTATCAACAGTTAATAGGCAGTTTAATGTATTTATCAGTTCTCACTCGTCCAGACATATCATATAGTGTTGGTTTCTTAAGTCAATTTAATAATTGTTATGATGAATCACATTGGATATGTGCTAAACGTGTTCTTAGATACTTACAAGGTACTAAAAACTATTGTTTAAAATTTAAGAAGGGAAATGTAGAATTGGAAGGTTATGTTGATGCTGATTGGGCAGGAAACGTACAAGATCGAAAGTCTTATACTGGATTCATTTTTAAACTTTATAATTCTGCAATTTCCTGGGAAAGCAAAAAACAGCCGACTGTGGCCTTATCAAGTACTGAGGCAGAGTACATGGCATTGTCGGAAGCTTCAAAAGAGGCTATCTATTATAGAAATTTGTTACATGAGCTTTTAGGTTTTTTGAATTGTATAGAAATTTTTAACGACAGCCAAAGTGCTCAGAAATTGTCAGTAAATCCTATGTATCACAAGAGAACCAAACACATTGATGTACGACACCACTTTGTTCGTGAAGCGGTCGTGAATGGTTCGATTAAAATTTCATATTTACCTACGTCAGAAATGATTGCTGACGTATTAACAAAAAGCCTATGTTCCAGTAGACATAATAAATTCTTGTCAAATTTAGGTTTAGTAAAAAATTATCAAATTTGATATAGTGGGGGTGTTAAATATATATATCAAATTTGAAAGTTCCCGCTGTGCTCTGCCAGCGCCACCGGATATATATGTGTGTAAACATTACTTGTATGTATAAAGTAAAATACAAAAATATATATAGGCCAGTCTGTGCTGAAACTCGAAGAGTGTTTTATTTAACTTTACGATAACA